AGTTATTCCATTAATTTGACTCAGCTTTGTGCAAAAGTAACAAAAAATAAATAACAGGTTTCATTACAATAAAGTACTGGTAACGTAAACAATTAGTGCTAAATATAATTATTAAGGTGATTATAAGAGAATTTGATAAAACATGTGGTTCAAGTAAGCACACTTTAAATCCCTAAATTAAACAAATAGTGATCAAATTAAAATGATGCTGCTGATTTTAACTAAACTGTACACGAAGAAGCATAAAAACCAATATTGGGCTTTTTACTCACATTATACAACAGCGCCCTCTGCTGTTTATTTGACCTAAAAACTGTGAATCTAATATCCTGATGCATCTCAGTAATCCAGGTAAAAAATCTAATAGATGTGAAATAAACCTGCAACTCTCCATTAGTCAGGTTAAAAACACTGAACTTGCAGTGATGACAGCAACAGCTTCTAATTTAAATGTAGCACGTTTAGAATCATTTAGATTAATTAAATAAAGCCATTAACACTGTATGATTACCTCATTTATAGTTGTCAACACACACGCTTCATTAATAAGTAAAAAGAAAAACTGACTGCATTAACTCAAGCTGTAATCTACAAGAGAACATAATGTTGATGTCATATTTCTGCAGCAACTGGAGCATCACACAGTTATAACAGGGACTGGAGGAAAACTTTAATTAAAGAGCGCACTCCTGACAAAAAAAAGTCATGTTCCAGCTGAAGTGAGGCGAGGCTGAACTTCTGCCAAGCCATCAAATGGGGAGCCAAGGGCGCCGAGCGTGAATTTAATGAGCATCTAAAATCAAACACAATGATGAAAGTAGGAGATTGATTTAAAAAAGGGGGGGCCTTCAGCTAGAATCTTCCTCTCACATCTATTATTTTTTATAAAGTATGATTTTGTTCACACAGAAGTAACTAAATACATTTTCCTTCATCCTGTTTTTGCCAGACGAGGGGAAAAAATGTAAAAAAATCACAAATCCTGTCTGTCAACTCATGAAATCACTGGTGCATTCCCTTCCTTTTTATCACCCTTTGTTATTTCACAGAAAAAGCACCATAACAAAACAGACAGCAGAAAGACTGGTAATTAAGACAAACTAATGTCTATGCTTGAAAGGAGCAAATCAGACAGCTGACAGATCGAGGCCATAAAACAGCAATAATAGGAAGCTGTGTGCATGCTGAACTGCAGAGAACTTTCAATCATCAATCAATCAAACTTTATTTTTAAAGCACTATAACATCAGCCACTGCTGAAACAAAGTGCTGAACACATAAAATAAAAACTGAATACAAAAACACAATAAAATCACACAGTTAAATATGTAAAATCAGCACCAATACAGTAAAAGTTGAGTGAAATCAAATCTCAGTTGGGTTGAGCCATAATAGACACATAAATTCACCAACTGCAGGTAAAAAGGACAAAAATCTAAAAACATTCGTCCATCTGTAACTAAAGGAAAGAAATTTGTAGTGATTTAAAAGTTTTGCTAACAAATAAGGAAAATCTGAAGAAATGTGTTCAATTTATGTGAATTAACGAGGGCAGCAGTGACTACAAGTTTGGAGGGGGGGATGTTTTGTTTCAACATGTTTTGGACACACATGAGTAACTACATAAATTTTTGCTTTATGAATAAAAGTGGATTTTTGTTTTAAAGAAAAGTTTTAGAGAAGCTTAATTGAACAAAAAAGTTTGCACAAATGTGTTTTACAGTGGTCTTAGAAAAGTAAATGGATTAATAATACATTAAATTTATAGGACTCTTTACATAAGATCCAACAAAAAATAATTACAATAAAAATTTCAATATAATGAGCAATAAGAGCAAAATAAAATCAGCTCAAGATGTAAAAAACAAAGAAACAATATGCCTAAGTGAATAAATAACATGTCAGGTGTTATAAATATTTCCAGAGATGAGGCTATCCAAATAGCATGAGCACTCAGCTACTCTAAAAGCTGTGTTCCATCAAAACTTTCTGTACTGTGATTCCAGCTGTAACACAGCATCCTCCCACCCTCTTTAGCTGCTCCAGTGAGAAACATCCCATCATTTCCACAACATAAAACTCATGGAAACGAATGCTTATTTTAATGGCTGATCTGTGCCATGGGATTATTTTAGTCTCAGGTTGAGTTAAATGATGCTCTTCCTTGCAGACTTGCATCCAACAGTTCACATAATAAATCAAACAAGTTAGAGAAAATAAACAAAATAGACCTCTAGCTTGAACTGAGGCGGAATCTCCTCAGGGTTTGATATGGCCTGACTGATATTACAACTGACTTGGGCGATACATCAGCACAGATGCCTTTAAATTGAAAATGCAATCAGTGTGGAGAAGCTCTTCTGTGCTCGGAGCTGCCAATTCCTAAAAGTCCTCGGGGGGATTTCACTGGCTCTGATGCAAAGTTATCCTCCCAGCCTGGCTGTCAACTGTTGATTTATCTTCTTTAAGAGCATCCAGTGATCCAGTAGCTGCTGCTTAACACATTCAAAATGCTAATCTACAGTATCTGCCTATGGTTCCTGTTTGCATTGAAAACCAACCATGTGAAATAAGCTAACATGAGTGTGCAGCTACGGAACAATACCAACATAACTAATGACATAATGGAGTACCAGTCAGCCATTAACCAGGGAACTTTAATGGTACTGAATCCATTAACTGCACTCGTATTGTTTCAAAGAAAACAGCCCAGGTAATCTCACTGTAGACCTGCTGAAATAGTTAACATTTGTAAAAGAACATAAGTTGATATGACCAGTAACTTACAGTACGTTCACGTGGTTAAAATGCATCTAATGATTGAGCCACTCAAACAAATCTCGACTTAAAATCATCTTGGATTATCTTACATCATGAAACAAGAGTCATACCTTTCCTTTTACCAACAAACTACTTGAACAGAAAACAACTTCCAGCAAATCCAAGCTGGAAGTCAACCATCTGCTTCACTCCCTCAGGGTTCTCATAAATGTAGAATGAGTGCTGCAGCTGGATTTATATTTTAGAAGACATTATGGTTGTCCAGCAGTTCATTAATACCAAATCCACTTATTATGTTACATTTAATGAAAGTTGTAAGAAAAAAAAACAACTTCATGTGTAAAATCCCAATATGTTAAGATAAAAACACAAAAAGGACAGAGGTTGTGATCATTTTTTTTCTGGGACTTTACTGTGATTTTATGAAAGTCATGGCATGATGGGAATAAAGACTGACTCTGAGTTTTTATAGTGAAGGATACTGACTTGAATAACACCCCCAGGATTGTAGCCCACTGGGTGTCAGAGATACTCTGTACCTCTCACCCTCTTATCTCATTCTCCTCTGACTCACTCCTCATTTATCATCTCTGTCAGCTGATTAACTCTGACTGGATTGTTAAATGTGTGGCCAAACTGCACCATTTGAAACAAATCCTATTAAATGATGACGACGGTTTTCACAGCTTTACTGAGAACCCACATCTATAATGATGCCAACATAATAAAACACTTTGTCGCAAGAATTTAACTGTTAGAATAGAATAGAATAGAATAGAATAGAATAGAATAGAATAGAATAGAATAGAATAGCCTTTATTGTCCCACAGAGGGGAAATCCAGGTGTAACAGCAGCATCCATACAGAGGTTCATACACTAGTAATTTTACAAACTATAGATACACACAAAACAAAATTAACACTGACTAGCCATTAAACAACTGCTGATAATAAAAAAGATAATATAAAGAATAGTGCAAGAATTGAAAAGTATATGTTTTGTTTTAGAGACAGTGGACTATCAGAATCTGACATTAGGAATCAGCCTGTTTTCAGTGCAAAACAATCTCAACAGACTATTAACTGTAAAGTGAAGTATCACAATGCAGACAAGAAACACAGATGTGCAATTACAGCAGAGTTGTTTTCTTAGGACAAAGACTAAACTTGACTAACTTTCTGTGATCTGATGTTTGTCAAATAAAAAAAGTGTAAAGTGTGTGTGTATGAGTGGTTTCTCTCCACCATCAAAAATTCAAACTCCTTTTATACTCCTTTTCTTTGATGCTGAATCTATACACTTAGAAACTCTGTGCAGAATGTTGATAGTGTTTATCTGCAAGCAGAGAGTCTCCTGTGGACGTTACAGCACACTTCTTATAATCAAATGTTCCAGTTTGTGAAGGATATGGACCCAGGAAAGCAGACAGACAAAAGCTGAAACAAAACTCAAAGTAACAAATAATACAAAGAAAACAAAACGGCTGGCATAGCAGCAACAACTAACAAAAAAACTGAGGAGTAATCGCAAGGAGACACTTAAGAATCCGACATGGCATGAAGCACAACAATGACCCACTCCTGAGAGAATAAATGGACTGGGACTGGGAGATGGGAGACAGCTGAGCTAAATGAAACAGAAAACAGGTGTAAGTGGACGGGGCAGGAGCTGAGTAGCAGGAAAGGTACAGAAAAAAAATGAACAGATGGCAGAGGGAAACACATAATACAAAATGACAAAAAAAAGGTAGTATAAACCTAACAACTCAAAAAAAAAAAAAAAAAAAAAAAAAACAAAAAAAAAAAAAAAAAAAAAAAAAAAAAAAACGACCAAAAACANAAAAAAAAAAAAAAAAAAAAAAACGACCAAAAACAGCAAAAACACAGAGAATAAACAGAGAAACTCCTGGTTTCTCATCACAGCGTGCAAAGTTTATGGGCTGTAATTGAAAAGCAACGACAGATTATGTTTAAACCTGTGTCTTTGTACATGTACAAGTACCATTTTATTCTTGTTTTTTAAACTAACTTGAATATACAACGTTCTGAATGATCAGACAGGTCGACAAGTATTTTTGTTCCACTCCTACAGAATATTGCCAAGCAGCGCTAAACAACTTTTGTATTTAGAAACAACATCCATCTACTCGATTCTTGTTTTTTTTTGTTTTTGTTTTTTAATCAAAACCTGATCTTTTTTCTCAAACATCAGAACTTACATGTTCCAGTTTCTCCCTCCTGCGGAGCCAAACACTGGCTGAATAATCCTGCTGCTGAACTGCAGTTATTATGGAGCTGGCTGCAGCTGCTGGAGGCTGGAAGCCAAAACCTAACGTCTGACCCCTCAGTTCGTGCCCACCTGATGAGCAGCGGCTCCGTCGTTGCTCCATGTCTGGGTGGCTGAATAAATTGTGAAGTTGTACAGGTTTAAATTTTTTTTTAATTAAACAAAAACGAGCTTGTTGATTTCCTGGTCATAAGAGAAAACTGCCGTCTTCTGTGGATGCATCAATAATAAATTGTACTTTTTATGTAAAGACACTTATTAAAAATATGAAGCGATGCAGCTTTTATTGCAAAGGTTTGCTGCTTGTTTTCATCTCCAGTGGTCTGTCTTTGAGCAGTGGATTGAAATTAAAATTCAGTCATTTGCATAAAACACATAAAATCCAAGTTTAGAAGTTGACATTCCAGAAACGCAACAAGTAATAGTTTGTACTGTCATCATACCCCTGTGTTCATGAGTTGGAGGCGCCCCTGACTTCACCACTGTTGGCATAACATCCAGACTGAGATCCTTCCTTGATGGCCCTTTCAGAAAGCAGGCCTTCATTTGATAATGATGTCGTCGAGGTTTTCTGGTTTTTCCATGAGATCCATTCGAATTTCGCCCGGTGGCGACCTGTTAATCTCTGCTCTCGGCAGGCCGGGGACTCCGACAGCACTGATCAGGTCTTCCCCGGCGTGGAAGAGAGAAAAGAAGGAGAAGGGAGGGGCAGAGACGTTGAAAGAGAGGAAGGATGGATGGAGGTGCGGGGTTTGCTGATGCAGCATCAAACAGGAGGCAGGACCCGTCGTGTGTGAAACACCAGCGGAAACTTGACAACAGAGGCACTGAACGCACCTACTCCCACACCAATTCTTTTACTTTTCCCTTTCATCTTCTTTTAACCGTTTCTTCTCATTTCACCTCTTTTCTCAAACTCTCTTCCTCTTTTATTAAATCTGACTTTTCAGTGATTTCCCCTTTATATCAAACTTATTTCTGACAATGATTTTTTTTTCTTTCCTTTGAGCCATAAAACACAAGAGGCAAATGTTCCACACACACACACACACCTATAGGCACATCACAGCAGAGTGGTGCAGTGGGGCTGCGGTACCTCTGCTCCTTCACCTTGTTTCTGTGAGCCAGGAAAGCAACAGAGCTTCAAACCATTAATTGGGTTCTATGACATCTTAGGCAAAACTTCAACTACGCACGTACACCAAACTGTGACTATATGAAAAGGTTTAAGTCCCCACAGCATGACCAACCCCTCTTCTCGCACACACACTCACACACATGCTCAGTCTAAACAGTGATATCATTAGTGGCAAGCAGCCAGTGTATCTTAACTCACTGAAAGGGAAGCAATCCATTTTAATTGCATGCCTGGACTTCCAGCTACTGCTGTTTAATGCCCACAGTCTGATACAACATCCTCTAAGTAACACAGTCACAGGAAGCTGCTGAAAAACTCTGCTGGCAAGACCATCATCATTCTGATATATCATAGAACATACATGTATTTGTGTGTAACAACAAAAATACTGATGAAAATCATTTAACACTATTCTTCACTTAAAATATTTGATTAAAAAAGATATACTGTATATAAAATAATGACATTGTTAATGTCCAGAATGTATACGGTCAATAAAAAAATCAGAAAAATGTGAAAACATTAGTTACCTTTGCTAAAATGCTTTCAACAACTACTAAGGAGTGTATGGTTTATTACATAAAACGTTTTTTTTTTTTTTTTTTTTTTGGAGCTTTTTCATAGATTACTTCAGGCAAATTTCAAACATCGTTTTTCTCTTGAAAAATGAGATTACAGATCTTCCGTTAAAAGGTTACGAAGGATGAGTGCGTTGTTAATCTGGACAGACGTTGCTGCAGGAAGCTTGAACTGTCCATACAATCAATCCAAGATGTCGTCTAAAACAAACGTTTTGCTTTAAATCATTCGACCTAAAATCAATAAAATTTGATTTTCTGTCAATTACCTAGAAAGTCACATATAGAACATCAATACCGCCTGGATTGTCTTGTTTGTTTATTAGAACAAAGACTTTTTATTGGATATTGTGCCTACACTTAAAAAAATCCATCTTTTAATTAGGCTTCTGCGGTCTTTTGGTCTCATTCCTCTCTGCTAGTACTTATACACCAACAGCCATCAACAGGAACATGAACTGAATACTGAACACTGGGTGGACTTCACTGAACATGAGCCAAACTCTTCCCACAAAAACCCTGCACCTTCCCGAGAAGCTTTAGGCTTTAAAAGCCAAACAGTGTCACACTCTGGCAAACTGCAAACGGACGATTGATGAAACACTTTGATTTCATTGTCTGGATTAAAAGTGACACCCAGGTGGATCCTGACAGAAAATAATACATCAGCATATCAGATGCCATCTTTTCTTCTTATAAAGCATCATTGCTCTTAGCATAGTGCATGGCAGTAAAATACAAATGAACTTATTTTATGCACAGAGAGCATCTTACCTGTAAGATAAAAGAAAAACATCTGACAGCAAAGTACAGCACTTTCATTAGCACTCGATTTAGACAACAACAGACTTATAGTAGAGCTTCTGAGAAGCAACAAGAAGTAATTTATTTGTGCACTCATCAATACAGCAATCTCAGGGTATTATTGATTAACCAGGTTAATTATTTTGACAGGAGGAGCCTATGTTAATTTACGTAATGCACGATGAAGTGTGAAAAGAACACTCACCTTTTGGTGCAGATCTGGATCACTTTAATGCTCCAATAGGTTCGTTGACTTCGACTGACTTTGTGAAACAAACACCAAAAATAGCTGATTCCTGTTTTCCTAGCTAAAAAAATTAAGAAAAATGTTGGAAATAACTATAAAGTCTCACTTTGTTTAGTAAAATGTCACAAACTGTGTCCAGTTGGTTTCTATTTTTTTTTCAAACCCAATTTCTTTTTGTGCCTATTTCATGGATCATGTGGAAGCAGTTAAAAATTATCAGAGCTGCATTGTACCACTTAAGTTTATTTATTCTTATTATAACAAAATAATTGTATATACAACCCATTCTGAAAAAGTTGGGACATATTGAAAAATATCTGTTGAATTACTATATGCATGAAGTTTCAACCACAAAGCAATAAAAGTTATTTGTTTTGTAGATATATTTCATATCATAATCACAGCTCATCCCAAGCTTTCTGCCTTACATCAGCTCTGCCAATTCTAAGGTGATCTTCAAGCTACATAAATACATATTTTCTCAATGATCATCACTGCAGTGTCTGCACCTTAAGAATCCATGACCTTTCCTTTAAAGCAGTGTTTCCCAAAGTTGGGGTCGGGACCCAAAGTGGGGTCCCGAAACATCAAGGTGGGGTCCTGAAAAGATTTTCTGACTTAATTACATTTTTGCCTTAGTTGTTACAAAGGAGTGAGGTCAGTATATTTAAAATGGATAAATGTAGTATAAAAATATTGTAACTATGCCCATGTTTTGTTGACCTGATACAAATGTTTATCGTCCAAAAATAGTTGGGGGCACAGGTCTGTGCTACTGTTATATTTTGTGGGTCAAAAGCTGAAAAGTTTGGTAACCACTGCACTTTGGTTCCCAAAGTTGGGCTTGGGACCCAATTGTGGGTCATGAAGCACCTTGGATAATCTCCATAAATCAAATTAAAGGGTAATAAAATAATTGCTGATGTAATATTTTCCCTGTAATGTTACAAAAACACAAAATAAGTATAGATAAGTATTTATATTTGTGTACAAGCTGTTTAGATTGTCAAAAAGGCTGTGTTTTTAGGGTTATTAACGAAGTTTGTGTACTCAGACCAGTAATATTTGGGGTCACAAGTTTTTGCCATGGATATTTTGTGGGTCAGAAGACAAAAAGTTTGGGAACCACTGCTTTAAAGAGTCATCCAAAGATTAGTCAGCCAATTCGCCAAACCCATAATCAATAATGCTTCTAAATCATCAACAGCACTGAAGATCAGTGACACCTTACCTCCACTCCTTCTTCCAGCTCCTAAACATGCAGTTCTGGGGAATTCGGACAGTGTTTGACTTCATCCAAAGGTAGACTGTGCAGCTTGAATGGATCTTTAAAAGGCAGTCTCTTGGTCCTGTGATGACCCAGAGGAAGAAAAGTTATTGGACTCTGTCCTGTGCACTGCAAGAATTAGAAACTCAGAGTTACAGAAGAAACCGATTACAGTATAAAAATGTTCAACATAAATCAGTTCTGTTGCAGCAAGAAAAATCTTTCTAAATCATTCTAAAACTGTACAGTGTTTCCCTTTGCGTGTTATTCTGTCTCTTAGAAATAACATGCGCACTAAAGTGTCTGAATCTTTCTCAGACCATCAGTCTTAATTTATTTTCCTCTCGTGTGACTTCAGGCTCCTCTGTAATGCTTTCTAGTTTTCACAGCCTGCAAATCCCATTGATCATTCAGACACTCAGCTCAATAAAAGTAACACACATTGTTCCAGTGAATTTCTGTTCATACAAAATAACACGTGTCACAACATCCTGTGTCATAAAGTTTGATTTTGCCTATTTTAAAGACACAATAAAACGGAAAGTAAAGGACAGATGAAAAAAACTGTAGGAAAATGTCCGTACAATAAGCTTTTATCAGAATGACAAATGTGAGGACGAAAGAAGAAAGAGATGATTGTATTTTCACCTTTTGGTGGCGCTAATGCGTCGTTTCGTTGTTTTTCAACTGCGAAAAATACAAAAGAAGAAGAAAAGAAAACCCACAAAACAGACGCTGGTAAATAAAGCCAAGCTATGGGCAATGACAAGGTTTGTCCTTTAAACATCAAGTCTGATTTAACGATATAAATACTCGATTATGCTATATTTGAACTCTAGAAGCATGATACTCTAGCAGTTAGCATTAGCTTATGATAGCTATCACAAATGTAGCTTTCGTTCTGGCGTAACTTGCTTGGTGTCATCGTTTTTATGGTTTTTATGTCAACATTTTGAAAGAAAAAAAATGGAAAAGGTACCTACAACTTTCATTAGGTTGAAGCTGTCAGTTAAATAAACCTGCTATTTACCTGACTGTTGTCAAAATGAAAGGTTTTGCCCGTGAGAGCAACTTTCACTCATGCTAAAACACGCTAAATGACGCGTTTGGGACCACTCAGCTCTGCAAATTAAGAAGTTCTGGTATAAAGTATGTATGTTAACAAAAATAAATTATGTCTAAACACGTTATTTCTTTAAATACCTTTAAAATACATTTCAAATGATAGCCAAAACTAGGATGTTTTCACATACAAAATTAGAAAATTTACATTAAAAAAAAGAAGATTGGGGATAATTAACATGCTAAATTTCCATTGCTCAAATTTGTCACAAATAAAAGCTTAGTTTCTACATATTTTTAATGATTGTCGTGGAAGCTTTAGATCAGTAGTTCCCAAACTTTTTGTCTTCTGACCCACAAAATATTCTTGGCAAAAACTTGTGACCCCAAATATTACTGGTCTAAGTACACAAACTTCTTAAATAACCCTAAAAACACAGGCTTTTTGACAATCTAAACAGCTTGTACACAAATACAAATACTTATTTTTACTTATTTTGTGTTTTTGTAATAATTATAGAGAGGATTACACCAACAATTATTTTATTACCCTTTAAATTGATTTCTGGAGATTATCCAAGGTGCTTCATGACCCATAATTGGGTCCCAAGCC